TTTAAGGAATTCATTCTGCTAATAAAAAAGATAATATATAGAACATATATTCAGGATTGCTTGCACTGTTTTTGTGCTATGTAGACCCCTCCACCCTCTTTACATCATTTAAATTATACTAGTACTTGGTCATAAACACTACTGTTTAAAGGGAGGCCAAGTGCCAGACAAAATGAAATTAGATATAGATCAATTCCTCCAATTGTTAGCAGTTCTAGAAAAATTAAATGGAAGGAAACATTACCAATGAAAGTCAGGAAGAGTAGGAAAAGTATATGGGAATTTGTTTAATTTAAAAAATTTTTGCTCTTCACAGTATAGATCAAACATGCTTAGACATATTTAATCATTTATTGCGCCAGACATTGCTGCTGCCTACGCAACACGCCATTCTCCCCTCCTTCATTAGTAAGAAAAGTTAGTGTTTTTTCAGATGTTAGGTGATTCAAGAGATGAAAGACTTGTCTTACTGAGTCTATGCTAATCAAGGTGATTCCACTCATGTTGCCAGTAGTTGGTTTAGGAATAGATTTGTGATAGACAATGAACTGTAAAAGGAAGTCTGCTTAGGGCCCTATAAGGGGGTCTTTCTTCCCCCTTAAAAATGGGCCACAAGAAAGGCAGTCCCCCATTTTTACCTCTGGATGCCTGGAACTGCAGCAGCCATGTGGGAACAAAGTGCAGCCAGCTTAAGAGCAGCTAACACTTTGAGGACGGCAGGACAGAAGCATGGAATGAACGTTGATTCCCGATGACCTCGTTAAGCCCATAAATTATCTAAATCAGAAATGGTTCTAACTCCAGGCTACTTCTGACATGAGAAAATTACTATTTAAGCCATTTTGAGTTTGAGTTCCTGTTACTTACTGTAAAAAAGAAAATTCAAACGGATTCTGGGCTGAGAACAGTCCTGGCTAAATGAGCAATTATTACTGATACTACTTATAACCAGCCCCTTGCAAAATCTCAATGTAAACGGTTTATGCTTTTTAAAGGAAGGTGTGAGATATCTAGAGTGTTTTCACTAATATAAGGGGACAAAGTCGCAGGCTGTTTGGTGGTTTGGATAGAAAAATAATTTCTTTTTTGCTCATGGGAAGTGCAGCCGTTTACTCCTCTGCCTTTTTTATATTTGTGGCCTTATTATGTCTAACTTTCTCCATCTTCTTTAAAAAAGTAAGTAACAGTAAGTACTCTTTAGAAGAGCCCCTGGCAAAGTCAGCTTGGCATTGCTTCAGGAAATCAATATGATTTAGACTACTTCTTCTCTCTCAAAGAAAACAGGGCTGTGAAGATGCTTTCCTTGGTGTTGTCTTAAATCTTGAATAAGGCCAGGCGGGGAGTAAGTTAGAACTTGCAGATGTTTTTCAAATTAATAAAAATGTGACTCCAAAGCTGAGCTTTGCATTCTGGTGGAGTCTAACATTAAGTCACATGGACAAATAGCATCTCAAAGCACGGCTTATAAAAACCAGCATCACAGTATATCAATCCATGAGCTCGGGGATTGCCGAAATTAAAGATAATTTCTTTTCTCTTGATTTATGAGAGCTTCCCTGGGACCTACCTTTCCGTGTAAAGCAAATGCAGAACTTGTTAATAATGTAAGCAGCTCTGGGCTTCTTCTCCACGGCGGTGATGCTCTTGTCTAAAACCAGAACTGCTTCCTTCCTGCTTTAATGGATTAGATTTGTTTAACTTCCTTTCTGTGGTGCTCAACCCAGCCCCACTGGCATATGGATGCCTAATGAATATTTGATGACAGTGACTACGACCGCACAGAAGATACCTTTGTGTCCACGGGAACATGATAAAGTACTCTAAGCTCTTTAACTGGAGTTATAAAATTATACAGTGACAGAAGGAGAGTCATGCCTTTCATAGTAATGTGCTGTTTTAAGAAAACCCCAAATAGAAAAAAAAAAAAAAAAAGGAGAAGGAATTGAGAAGTACAGATTGGTAGTTACAAAACAGTCACAAGGATGTAAAGTACAGCATAAGAAATATAGTCAGTAATATTGTGATAACTATGTATGGTGCCAGGTGGGTACTGGACATATTGGGGGGAACACTTTTTCTAGTATATGACTGTCTAACCATTATGCTGTACACCTGAAATAATACAAAAGAACATTGAATGTTAACTGTAATTGAAAAAACATACAAAAAGAAAACCCCAAATAAATGGGAAGGGACAGGAATTAAAATCTATGACCTAATATGTGCTGAAAATTTATATGATATCTCTATATACTATTTTATTTTGTTTTAACCATAATCCTCTGGACTATCGTTAAAATAAAATAATTTCAGATTCCCATTTTCCTGAATCTCAGATGTCAGTTGTATGGTGAGCCAATATTCCTATCTATATATATAAAAAGCCAGCAGCCATAATGGCCATAATGACCATAACGACTGGTTGCTATGATGCCTACTGTAGCCAGCAAACCACCTGCTCAGGGGCAGGGCGGCTGGCCAACTCGAGGCCCTTCCTCAAGCCAGCCTGCCCCTGATCACAGCCCCCCATCCGAATAGGGGGTGGGACTGGGTAGCCAACCTCCTACAGCCCCTCCCCCTGGCCGCCCTACCCCTGATCAACTTCCCCACCCCAATAGGGGGTGGGGATGGCCCACCAACCTCCTGCCGCCCCTCTCCCCACTGGGCCCCACACCAAATCGGCCCCCCCATCCCATCAGGGGCAGGGCTGGCCAGCCAACCATCCATGGCCCCTCCCCCAGGCTGCGTGCCCCCCGATTGGCACACTGTATCCCATTTGGGGGTGGGGCCAGCTGGTCCACCACCCACAGCCCCTCCCCATGGCCTGCTCTATCCCCAATCAGCCCCCAAACCCCAATCAGGGGCCCTCTTCCCCCAGCTGGCCCAGCCCTGATCCGGCCCCCATCAGGGTGGGACAGCCAGCCAACCTCCAGCCATCTCCTCCTCCCAACAGGCCCAGCTCTGATCCGCCCCGATTGGGGCTGGGCTGGCCGGACTCCACCCGTGCACAAATTTGTGCACTGCACCTCTAGTGTACCAATAAGAGACTATTCAGCCAATGAAATTATGATACACTATTTGAAAGATGTGCCCTGATATCAGAGTTATCAAAATGTAAAAAATAACAGGCATCTCAAAAATAGTAACAGGATTTTTGATAAGAAAAATCACTGATGTCACACTGCCAGTTAGTAGCCTTGGCAAAGACAAACTCGCTACCCACCGCAACGCCTGCTCCCTTCCCAGAGTGTGACATTCCTGCTGAGAAACGGCTGTCCAGCCAGGAGCTGCACCTTCCACCACCCTGAATCCTGATCAGCAGACTGTGAACACAACTGACGCAGTCACTTCCAGGCCAAAGAGGTAAAGAAGCGAGGGTACTGCCCCCATCCGCTCTCATATCCCATCTACCATTTATAGGATGCCGATGCCCACGATGATGTGAGAAGCTGCCTGAACATGGCAGAGCCTCTGGGTCTGCCCCGGTTCCTGACCAACTGCAGGAAGAATGCCCTGCCTGTATCCCCAAAACACTGTGCCAAATAGGATGCCACACTGAATTTAAAATGAGCACTAGCCTGGTGGGTGAGGCTCAGTGGTTGAGCACTGACCTATGAACCAGGAGATCATAGCTTGATTCCAGGTCAGGGTACTTGCCCGGGTTGTGGGCTTGGTCTCCAGTGTGGGGAGTGCAGGAGGCAGCCAACCAATAATTTTCTCATCATTGATGTTTTTATCTCTTTCTCCCTCTCCTTTCCTCTCTGAGATCAATAAAATTCTTTAACAATAAAATAAAATGAGCAATAAGTAAACTTCTATTTTGTTAAGCGACTGTCATACGGGGCTCGTGTGTTACATCAGCTAGCATTACTGCAGCACAGTTTGTGGCAGAATGAGAAGGCGAATGTCAGGTTCCAAAGCCCGGAACCGATCCTGTGACGCCAGGCAGGTAGAAACCTCCAAAACAAACAAACAAAAATCCAAAACAAAACAGGACTGATTGCTCCATTTTAAGCAGTTTTCATCACTCGGTTTGAAGGAAGGGCGGACATAAGTAGATTGAAGAATAATACATTTCACAAAGAAAGTCTGGACAAGGACAATTAAAGTTGCCTGTGTGATAGCACAGATGCGAGGAAAGACAGAAACAAGTGAAGCATGAGGGAGCGATTTCAAAAGTGGGTGGAAGGGACAGTAACATGTATGCTCTCTTTTATGTCTTGATTTGGTCTGACACAGTGTGGGTGCAGGTGAAGAAGATCCAGGCAGGTGCCATAACCGCAGCCTGCTCACTGGTCTACTAGTAATATCTCAACACAGAGGTGGCCGTTACCGGACAGACCCTGAGGCAAAGGGAGGGGAGGAAGGAGCAGCTTGACCGGCAGCAGGTGAAAGGGCAGGACTGGAGGTGACAGAAAATGGGTGAGTTCCAGATTCAAGACAAGAGTTTGAACCTTGGCTCCACTATTTCTTATACCAGAGCCCGTGACTTTGGGCAATCCTTTAACCTCTCTAAGGGTCAACTCTTTCATCTAGGATTATGTTCACAGAATGACCTTCACAGGTTATTAGAATTAAGTAAGAAAATATATGCAAAAAGGCATATACTCGTGAGAGAGCACACACTGAATGTTAATCACTATTATACTTGGTGTCATTATTACACTTCAGCTTCTTTCTCCACCTAAGCGCAAACAGCCGAGTGTGCTTTTAATACACATCTCTTCTAAATAGAAAAATACAATTCCTTGGAAGGAAGTTTGCCTTCAGCTGGGAAACCAATTGAGATTAAGAGCCTGCGGAAGTTTCTATTTCAAATTAAAAATAAGCAATTTGTTAACATGCCCCGAAGGAATGATGGGCAGAGAAAATACGAAGGGAACGATGGTGTATGATATTTCAAACACCAGTTTCACTTTATTGTTTACATAAAAATAGCACTTTGTCAGTTCACAATATTGTAAGGCGTAAAAGAAAAGGAAAAGAGCATAAAAACTTACCCTTTGTTTTTCATTTGAACCCTTTTTATTGTTCTCTTTTCTACTCTCATCTTCATACACTAGAACAAAGTCGATTCTTCGCTGGCCGTCATTAAAATAGAGTGAGTTGGGTTTCCCGTTAAATTCTTCCTGTGTAGAATGGAAAACAAACTTTAATATAAATTTTTGAAAAAAAATGTTTATTTTCTAGCTTTAATGGGCACATCAACATGTTTATAGAGAAAGAGAAATAGATCCATTATTAGTTACTTGACAAAGATCATGGTCACCATGATCCCCGAAAGCATAATTTTTTCTTGGTGAAATTAAGTCCTTGAATTGAGCAGTTTAGCATTATTCTGTAAGTACATGGGAGAATATCAGTATTTTGTATGTGACACACTCATCCCAGAATTATTTCTGCTTCAAATATCAAAAATGAGTAGCAAGTTTGGAAATGAACATAGTAGCCAGAGATGCTTATCTATCCGAAGGACAGAAGTTATTTTAACAAGAAGAAAAATCCAAGACAAAGCACTCTTAATAGAAATCTCTTCTTATTTTCCAACTCTTCCATCATTTTTCCTGACCTCCCCCTTTATAGAAGGTATCATTTCATAACCTTAAATATCAGAAGATGCTCTAATATACACAAAAGCTACTGTGTGGTCTTTGGTTATTTGTTCCCAAGTCCACAAAAGATACCCTCTCACTCCTAAGGAAAAAGAAAATAAACAACAAAACCAAATCAACAACAGCAACAAAATAAATGAGCTTTTTCATTTAGACCTTAAAAGTCTATGGGTTAAAAACAAATGAATAATGGCAAAGCACAGACCTAATACAATTGAAAACAATCTCGACTACATATGGACTTGAATAGAATTGTTTTAAAAGCCTTGAATTTGTGTCTCACACAACTTGTCAGGATGCTTACATTAGTTTTGTTGTTATTTAAGAATCAGACTGCCTTAACCAGTTTGGCTCAAGAGTCGAGGTTCGATTCCAGTCAAGGGCATGTACCTAAGTTGCGGGCACATCCCCAGTAGGGGGTGTGCAGGAGGCAGCTGATTGATGTTTCTCTCATCAATGTTTCTAGTGCTCTATCCCCTCTCCCTTCCTCTATGTAAAAATCAATAAAATATTTTTTTTAAAAAAGAAGAATCAGACTGCTTTTTAAATAAATAGTATTTTGTAATTTTTCAGGTTTTTTTTTTTTTTTAATTAAAAACTCCAGGGGAGACTGCATTTTGCAGTCATTTGGTAGAACTACTTAATCATTAAATTTGACTATTCTCCTCTGCATTCACCATCAATTAGTACAAAAATCATCTAATTTTATCACCACTTCCTGCTTTTCTTCACATTTTTGAGATGTATTTTTTTGCTGAACATATCCAGCCTGGTACTGGTGATTCCTTTCCTTTTCCACCAGGGAGCCTGTGAAGGTTTATTAGTATTTGAAGCTCCTCCCATTTAGCAGGTCATACACACACACACACAAACAATGCCTGCTGCTGCTGCTATAACCTAGCTCCAAGCACCTTCATTTCAGCCTCATTCAACCAGGGACTTTAACCTCAAACATAGTGTTTGTGCCTTGAGATCTTCCTTAGCCAAGGCCCTGATGAGACACATCAGTGCCTCTGCCCACTATACAATTCCTTCATTTGCAACTTCAACTATTTAAAACCAACAAGTGTCTTTTTAGAGTATTTAAAGCTCTGCAAAAGTGCTAAGCCCTGTATTTTTCATTTTAGCTATAGAGTCCTTGAAGCATTTGATTTTTCTTCCTTTCATTGAAGATATTACCATTGGTGACAACCAGGGCAGCTGCTAGAGGAAACATGCTATGTAGGAGATGAGGGTCCTCAGAAAGGCAAACAGTAGGTGAGGCAGGGCGGAACAGAGTCACGAAGACCTGATCACCACGGTAAAGTGAACAAAGGCAGCTCGCTCTCTACGGCCCACACTGTGCTGCCGTTGGTGGTGTCCGGCAGGAGCTGCATGAAGTTACGTTTCTGCAGAATCAGGCCTGGAATGCGAACCACATTCGCACACAACTCCAGGCACTCTTTCCTGCCAGGTCATTGGCTGCACCGGTTGGCAGCTAGCTCCCAGGTAATCTGGTCTGCACACAGGCCTCTCTTATGCGATAGAGCACCATGGCCATATGTTTGGAGGAAAATCCCAATGGACTTGGCAGAAGCCGTCTGTGAGAAATAACCAGGTCAAACTCTGATACGAGGTTATTAGAATGCAGTGCCAGGGAAAGGTGCCCATTTTCTGTGGGTGAGAAATCCAGGTTTCCCATCTCTTGGCAGAAGACATTCTACTAGGCAACTGGGATGAAGAGAGAAACTAAATGCTCGGCTGGAACAAATATGTAATAAACAAAGGAACTAGACTACATAAAGAAGGCTGATTTATGAACAAAAGTTAAAAAAAAAAAAAAACTGGATTTTTCAGTGATAAGTTCTACTGCAGGCCTAACTCCCCAAACCAGACAGAGATAAAAGGAAACTAAAAAAAAAAAAAAAAAAAAAAAAATTAAAAATCCTCTCCTAAACTTTTGCTTTATATAAAGTAAATTTTTGATAATTCCTCAGGGTAAATAAGAGAATCTTCTTTAAATGACTGATTGATTATTCAGAGATACATTATTCATGTCCTGGTCTCCAGGCCTTCTCTTAGATCTACTAAAAATCTTATCTTTAGTCTTTTCTACCAAATCAGATGGCACCAAGATGAAATACAAAAACCCTTGAAACACAATCTCTTGTTCAGCAGCTTAAATAAAAACATAAAAAATGAGGAAAAAAAATTGACCAGAAGGCTTAACATTTATCAGGTAAGGTCATTTTCCAGATCAGAGCTTACATATGGTTACTGACTTTCCAGCTAAGAAATTTATCAATCCTTATAATCATCTGGGTGACTTACTAATCGTAAGGATCTTAGATAAATGTTTTTAGTGCCAAGGAAGTCAACAGAATCACTAGCTGTTAATACTTCTTTCTTATTGGAAAAAAAACATCAAGCAAATTTCTAATTACATTTGGGGTCTATAAAACCCTACATCTGTTCACACCCACAGCCCTCTCTGGTCCCAAAGAGACAATATCCCACCAATCTAGCACTCATTTACCCATTCGTAGTGTGACCTGACCTAACACTGCACTAACAGTTAACTAACAGTGGTTAAAAGGCCTACCTGTTCATCTGTTGATATAACAAATAAAGCAGAACAGTGCTGCCAACCACTGCAGATGACCTGACCACTTCTGCCCCTGGTGTCGGCAGAGATATTTCATTTCACACGTGGGGTGAAGAGGAGGCATGCTGGTCTGAGCCAGGGGAGTGTCTGAGAAAGGAGGGCTTAGTCACATGCGGTTTACCCACGTGATGTTTTCCAGGCTGCCCTCCTCTCTGCTGGCTTCTCTCTTTTCTTTGTGGGCAGCACTTCAACAAAAGAGTGGAGAAGGGCAGGATCCTCCTTAACCAAATCGGGATAAAAAATGCGAGCAGTAAGATGACTCTGCCCAGTGCTTTCAAGCTAGAGTTATGACTTCGAGAACATGAAGAAAATATGATTTTTTATTTTATTTTTTTTTTTTTGCTATTGGTAAAACCAAGGGTCCTATGACTTTGATTAAATTTGGCTTTAAATCCTAGCTCCCCCTCTCCCTCTAGAACCTCCCTGTCCCCCATCCCCTCTTTTCTCTTTCTTTCTCCTTTGGCAGGCTAAAAATAACTTCTTGACCAACCTGTGTTTTATTTCCTGATCCTAAGGTGGAATGAGCTCCTGGCTACTTTCACATAAAACCAGACAGAGGGGCCCTGGAACAGACCCCAGAGCTGTACTCCAGACCTGAAGAAATTATTCATCACCCTTAACTCGCCCCTGAAAAATCAACTCCTAGAACAACCACAGCCTCTAACCCCTGAAGTTTCCTGATTTTGCCCTACATAATCTGAAACCTACATGCCATCAGGGAGTTCGGGCTTTTGAGCAGTAGCTTCCCTTTCTCCTGTGTGTGTGTGTGGGGCGGGGGGGGGGGGGGGGGGGGTGGTGTGTGCCATCTTCACTAATAAAAGAGAAAAATGCTATTGACCATATTATACACCCACAGCCAGTCAGAGTATGCAAATTAATACAACAAAGATGGCAGTTAATTTGCATATGCTGAGGAAGGGAGGAGTGAAGACTGAAGACAGCATAGAAGGAAGCGGGGGAGAGGGGGAAGCGAAAAGGAAGGTGGCTGCCAGAAGGAAAGCAGGGGTGAGGTGGGTCCGCGGCAGCCACTTGCAGGAATCTTCCTGCAACGGGCCCCTAGTTTATTATAAAATAGGCAATATTTCTCCACTGCAGTTCTCAGGGTCCCGTGTTTGGCTGTGCTAGCGCTGGGTGGACGAACTCTTTCTGTCCTGTAACACTGGCCAGGAAGCACATGTGGGTACCAGTCCTGTCCCTGGAATGGTTGAGAAAAAAGGTCCTAGGGCAGCGATTTTCAACCTTTTTTTTTTTTTTTTTTTTTTTTTTAAATAATCTCATAGCCCACATAAACCAATTACTACAATTCTGCAGCATACCAAATAATATATATTTTGCCTGTTTTGCAAAAAAAAAAAAATAAATAAATAAAAAATAGGCATACAGTAATTTGATTCATTCACAATGGATGGCTAATGTTGTGTTGGCTGTTGTCGTTTTTTAATTGGACAATCTAAGTAAAAGAGGTCAGTGCCCCTGACCAAACAGTCAGGTATTGTACATTTTAAAAATTCTTGGTGCACAACAGTGAAAAATTGCTGTCCCAGAGGACAAACAAGTCCAAAGATAAATATTTTCCAGAAATTACTTGGTAGGAAAACTTCTCAGAGGCAGTCTCTGAATGAAATATGGCACTGGACTTCCCCTTGGACAGGATGGTTGTCTTAAAAAAAAAAATGAAGGGTCACATGCATGCCTCCTGGGCCGAGAGAGAAGAGCCGGAGGAAGAAAGAACCTGAGGAACCTGCCTGAGCGGCCTTCCTCTCGGGGCTCAGGTCGGTCACAGGTGAGCAGTCCTGAAATCCCAGGCATGACCTGGCGAGCCCATGCAATAACCCGCCTCTTCACCTCTGCCCAGCACTTCTCAAGTCTCTCA